GACAATAATATTACCGATCAATCTTTTGATATCGGAAAAATCTTTGACTATTTGACAAAATTCATGTTCTGTCGGTTTGACTAAATCGGTACAGTCAGTTTGTATATCAATCTTTTCATTTATGAAACCAGTTTTATCATTTTTAAGGATTTCACATCAATTATGGAATTGTAAGTTTTTTAAGGGATTTTTTAACATGTGGTTTAAGCATCATTAATTATAGGTCTTTTAATTTGTATTTTTAAGATACAAGTTAAAAATACTTTTTTAATATTAATTGTCATTGAAAAAATAAAATTTAATATTTACTTAATCAATCATCTAATTAAAATAATACATGTAGTATTAATTATAAAATTAATGTCAATTTTTGTTATTTTTATACTAATTAGGGTTTATCTATAATCATTAATTAATAATTATCATTTTTTTCTTAAAAGATATGAGATTTTAAATTAAAAAATAAATTTTAATTCCAATTTTAATTTCAAAATGAACGAATAGGAAATTAACTAGTAACATTTATAATTAAAACAAAAGTCAACTTTGCTATTTTTAAGATAAAAAACTATAATAATTACATAATTATTAATTTTTATCCTGTGCGCTTAGATAAACCCTACTAATTAATATCAAAAGGGTGTATTAATTACATTTTTAGGGTGCAAATTAAATAAATCCTTAATTATAATATTTATAATTAATATTGCATAAATTTTTATATAAGATTTAAATAAAATATAGTATAAAATGTAAAAATATAATATAATATTTATAAAAAAATTATGAAATTAATATGAAATTTGTATAAAATTAATTAAAAATACTTTAATTCATGAGTTTTAATTAACCTTTATTCTAAAGATACATATTAGACAAATATTTTTTAAATCACACAGTAGTAAAATGAAAGTATTGAGGACTTTACATAAAATTATATAATTTTCTTAATATAATTTTTCTTAAGATTGGAATCTCAAACATCTACCTTTTAATCCCAAATTCTTACTAATTAAAAATACTTTTGACAACATGATTTCTCTAAAATAATTATCATGATTTAATTAAAAATTGATTTGTTTTTTATTTTATTTGAACATAATTCATTCACAAATTTTATTTCAAAGTAGAATATATACCATAATTTTACGTAATATTGATTAACTCCTTTTCACCCGCCCTTCATAACATTAGTATGTAATTTTTGTAATTTTATTGCAAAATATATAAGATTGAGAGTATATCATTCGAAACTTGTAGGAGAATATGATACTCAATCTAATCCTTACAAAAATGCCCACTTGTATTTAAGTTATAGTTTCCTTCACCAAGCAGAAAAAACAAAAGAACGAAAGTGATATTATTCCTTTCCCTGTTTAAGTGCACAGTGGTGTGGAAAAAGGAGTATCCAAAAGCGACAGGGGAACCAGAACTATCTGGTCTTTGATTCAGGAAAAGAGTCCAGATTCAGGCCATCTATTTTCCAAGTAATAAATACCGTTCTTTGGATAGCATGCATAGGTAGAATTTTCGCCCTGAGTCATCAGCTCCTTTCAAGGGGAAATTAAGGATTGTCTGCCTCGGTATTTCGTTTAATGAATAGACCTTAATTTGTCCCTACTTCCCTTTATTTTCCACTGATGGCAATTTACGAGACAACCTTTTTGTTTTAGTATAGGAAAATGTGGGGATTGAATAATGATGGAATAATAATGAAAAAAGAAAAAAAATATTAAGATGGTTATATTCCTTTTAAGTTGAGCACCCAATTTCTATCAATAAGTGTTTAACGTTCTCACTTGAGACGAAAGATTGATTGCTTGAAATTAATGTATCTTAAGGTCTTGCAGTTCACTAATATATATATATATATATATATATAGCTTAAGGTCTTCTTGAAGTCATGCACTTTGGGTGACACATTTTGAAACAGTGTTGGAGATGATAGTGTTGAAGAGGGTTGAAATGCTATGTGAGTAAGAATTATAACGAAAGCGCCAGCATTTTGATGTATGTGTTTAAAGTACTGTTTGTACTCTGAGTAATATAATTCATTTTGCAGATAAAAACCAATGAAATGTTTTGTTTATGAAACTACTTCGCGTGATAAATATATAGTGATGTTGATGCTAATATTGCACTCTATTTATTTCAGAATAATAAATGTTTTTTTATTTTATATTTGAATTAAAAATTTAGAAATAATTTTTATTTTTATTTATTTTACCTTTAAAAAATAATTATGAGGTTAAAATAGAAAAAAAAAATTTATATCACTTAAAATATTAAAAATAATTGTTATCTAAGACAAATTTCGAATCTAAAAACTTCTATTATCGTGAGATAAAAGGAGTAGTGCTAATATTTTCTCTAGCTGATCATTAAAAAAATACTAATAATGCCTATTTGTATCATAGTATTTACTTTATAAAAGTTAAACTAGTTGAAACATAACTCTTTTAAAAGCGCTTTTGCTTTGTTAAAAAGACATTTTAATTTTAGAGGACTGAAATTTAAAGCTGGAAATTTGCAACTCCTAAAAGAAAGCATTTTTCTTTTAAGTAATTTACTTTTAACAATGTTACAAGCTGTATCCCAAAAAAAAAAAAAAAAAAGTTTCAAGCTGCGGCGCCATGAAAATTTTAGGAGAGGTCAAAATTTTGGCCCCAGTCCCCATTATATTTTTTGTTTTGAACTATGATCCTGTTTAGTAGAGCTTCTTTGAGTTTTTACTTTTTTGTACTATTTATGAGTGATAAATTTAAATTTTTATTAAAAAAAATTTTAAAATTACTTTTAGAAATAAAAAAAAGGTGAGTAAAAAATAAATAAAAAGAAAGTTTATAAAAAATAAAAATTTGAAACTTTTTAAAATTCATTGTTTAATGTCTTTTTAAGATTATTAAAAAATTAAAAAATATAAAATTTTAAAAGAAAAATTTTAATTTATGAAACATGAATAGTATCAAAAAACTGAAACTCTTACAAATTTCACCAAACATGCTCTAAGACAACTTTGGGGGAATGGAACCGACTACCAGTATTGGATTATCAATGTTTAAAGCTTAGACTTCAAGTGTCACCACACCACTTTTCTCAAAAGATTTGTGGCTCTGGACACAGTGGTGTGGTTGGCCCCGAACCCCATTATGTTTTCTTTTTTTTTTTTTTACTATATTTTATTTAAAGTAATTAAGATTTTATATAACTTAATTTTACATATTATGCTTACATAAAATCTTAAATATTTATCTTTATATTTTTAATAGTTAAAATTTATTTATTTTTTAACATATTTGTTAATAATTATTATTTTTTATTTAAAAAATTATGATAAATTTTAACTATTAAAAGTGGATAAATAAATTATTAAAATTTTGTATGGTAGTATGTTTGGGTTGAGGGGAGAAATGAGAGAGTTTTTAAATCAATTTAATTATAACATTTTTAAATATTACAATCTATTGCTAAAAAAGTCTTCCCCTCCCCTCACGCCCTCTCCTCTTCCCTCCATTCTCCTAAAACTAAACATCCTATAAGTACAGTACATAAGATTTGCATATAAATAAATTTTTATTCTTTTATTTAATATAATATTGTGACATTCAACAAATAAAAAATTGAATAAATATCAATTCACTTGTGATTTATAAATGAAAAAAAAATTAATCATAAAATATTATGTTATATTATATAAATTAATATAAAAATTATATACAATTATCGTTTTCGTTAACCCAAAAAAATATATTTATCATTTTCATCCTAATTTTGCTTATGAACATGACCAATTGAACCATAATAAAAGTTTTTAATAATTGCGAGAACTTTTATCAATTTCGACCGTAATGGAGAACGGGTTAAAAAGATAAAGAAGTTTTATTTTTATATGGTAGATATAGTGTCTATT